TGCAATAATTACCAACGCCAACCCGACCTTCCAACCAACAAGAAGCGCGGGAAGCTGCGTTAACATGGTATTTAAAATGGAACATCTGTTGAAACCGGGGAAATGATACATATGTTGGTAAAAACAGAGTTTGGGACACATGCTTGGTAAAAACTGTTTGCTTACGAGGATGAGAATCACTCGTCTCGAATCTTTCTCACTTTTTTGCTTGGAACCAGTGATACATCAAAATGTAAAGAGTTACCGAGTAGATGTTTCGTTTAATTTCTTTGAATAAGAATGACTCGGTAAAAATTGTACTAATGGAGAAAAATAAAACTAGTGTCTTAGAGAAAAACTGTAGAAACTACGATATAATGCTTGCAATAATTAATTGAAATTTTAATCTTCTACAAATGATCTATTAACACGTTCGAGGCCAATCACACACTGGCGTGTAATATTCAATTATGTTATTACTGAAGTAATCATGGAAATAAGAGAATTTTTAAACAAAATAAAAGCTGAAGCTCTGTAGATATCAAAACCTGCGATGTGTCATGGCCTGATTTGTACGAAGAATGTCTGCAACGTTAATTTTCCACTTCCCAAACACGTTTTCTTTTCTCAATTTTCAATATAAAGAAAAAGAAAACTTTGGTTCGAGAAATCGTTGGCCTCGAATAGGTTAAACAACTACACCTCTAAATCCCTATCCAGCTTCTACAGCTCGTTCCTTCAAATCAGCGCTCATCGCAACCTATCAAAGCTCGAAAAGAAGAAGTGAGAAAAATAGCTAACCAAAGCGCAAAGCTTCGTCTCCAGTTGGCTTCGTCGTGTCAACCTTCGATATCCATTGGCAATGAACGTGGACTCGGTTCGTACACTACCGAAACGGTCAACTAGACTCAATTAAACCGGCGAAGCGGCCTAAAGCGACTTGTCGCGACAGTGAATGACTGCTCCATTGAAAATATCCAGACTCTGTGCTCGTCACCGGGCATTTCGAACGTGGCCGCTGCACCTTTTGTCACGCAACAGCTCGGCGTATTTACAGTATCAGCATTCAGAGGCGGTGAAGTAACGACGGTGAAGAAGCCGAGAGAAAGCGGCGTGGGACACGAGGAACGTCCGAGATGTGCAAGAGTAACCGCGTCTCCTCCGCCGTTTCAGCTGGTTTGCGCGCGTGCAACACACGCTTTTACTTCCTTCTTCCTACGGAGTCTCCTCGACCACGGCCACGGTCGCCATCAGAAGAAAGGTTGCCCCCCTACTCTGTCCTTTCTCGCGTCCCTCGCTGCCTCGCGCGCTCGACAGCGCGATTTATTAACCCTCACGAGCACGCTCGTAGCGCGCGAGCAAACGGTGAACGCACCGGAGGAGGGCATTGTTCTTCGCGAACGTAAATTTGGAAAGTTGGACAGCCGGACTTTTGCCTGGCGCAGAGCGGAGCGGAGCGGCGGGAATGTTGCTCTCGGTGTTCCTCCAGGAGGATCTCGTTTAGAGGAACCTTTTACAAGGGGACTTTCACTCGGTGTCTTCTTTTTAGGGGGAAATTTGTTATCGGTGGTGTTACTGGCAGGGATTTTCGTTCGATGTGATTGTAGGTGAGTGCAGAAGTTCTTGGGCTCTGATGAGGAGACCGATTTCGATTGGCTTTCTATTTTACGTTCACTTTGCTGATTGTGTTTGTATTGTTGCACGGGGTCTTTGAGTCTTTGGTAGTGGAATTGTGGTGTTTTTGAAGTGTCTTTCTTTCAGGTATTGAACATACTGAGCCGTTGAAACGTGTACAGGAAGTTTGCATGGAATGCTGCAAACTTCTTCATACAAACACTACCTGTTTCTTCAAAGAAGAAGAAACACCTTTGTTTCTTAGTTAGTGGAATTGTGGTGTTTCTAAAGTGTGTTTTTCTCTCAAACACTGAACATATTGAACCGTTGAAACGTGTACAAAAAGGTTGTATGGAATGTTTCAAACTTCATACATCTACTATCTCTTTCTTCAAACTCCAAGAAACACACGGTGTCAAACGAGAATTAACGTTACACCGCCTTTAATTCTTCATTTTAGTACGAGCAGTTGTTCTTTCTTTCAGATGTTGAACATATAGAAACTCCTCAAACTTCTGCACTCATCTACTATCTACATCTCTAAACTCGAAGAAACACATCGTGTCATACAAGAATTAACATTCCTGTGTACTGGAATTGTAGTGTTCCTCAAGTGTGTTTTTTTTCTTTGAGATATTGAACATATTGTACAAAAAATTTGTGCAAACTTCCTCAAACTTCTGCATTCATCGATCTATTTCTCCAAATTCGAAGAAACACTGTACCATAAAAAAATCAACATTACACCGTCCTTAATTCCCCATTTCAGTATTATTCCCTCGTTAGATTAAACAAAGTTCCAGCCCAACTTTTCCAAGAAACACACCGTGTCATACAAAACCCAACACTCCACCGCGTTTAATTTCTCATTTCGGTGCTACCCTCCAGCTCAAACTTTCAGTCCAACGTTTCCAAATAGCTAAAATAAAAAAATTCTTTTCGCGATAAACGAACTTTCTCTCGACTTCGTGCTCGTCGGCTACGTCATTACTATTAAAACTAAGGCCATTCACCGACCCTAACGAAGCCCTGAAAAGCGCGACGACATATGTATAAACTGTGGCCTCTACTTCTTCCTTCTCCACTCGTCCCTCTTTTTTCCCTTCCTTTACACCACGCCGAATCGGCTTTGCACACTCGTTCAACGCGCTCCTCAGCTTCGTTAGGATCGCCGTTTGACTTTGCTACACAACTCTGCACCATAGGTGAATACCTTTCGGGCGACAGCTGGTCGACAAAGCCGACCACCTTCTTTTTCGTTCCGTTTACGCTGAGCGAGGGCATACTACAAGGAGGGGTTATAACGATTTACGATTGTGTATACACAAAGCCGTGTGTAACATCCTTCTTTTCTTTTTCACTTTTACTCAGAGACCGATATACTCGAAAACCAACACCCGTTGCAAGATGCCCCGAAGTGAAATTAACGCGGGAAAAACGCGGCGAACCGCGAATCAATTAGCGCCGGGCCCGTGATTCCGACCGAAATTACGTTCACGCGAAGATCTGCGGCGCTCGAACAACCGGAATTCTCTTCGTTTAAATCGCGTCACCTCGAGATGCTTGGCCGATTAATCTTTCGAGAGGGGACGTTAATCGGTTTGCTTTAAAAGGTTTCGAGGACGTGGACGAAATTGAAAATGAGGCGAATTGAGAAATATTGCCGAGCCGAGTGTCTCGGTGAATTCAGGTCCGATAGGTAGAAAGTAGAAATTTGTGAGAGATTCGAGTGTAATTAGTGAAGCACATCTAGGAATTTTCGTTTAATTCGATTTCAAAATTCCAATTCGAAAGTGGATTTCAGTTTGACTAATAGGAGAAACTGATGTCCTTTACGTACCTTCCAGATTGATAAATAACCGTCAATTTTTTGTTAAACAGCAAAAGTTGACGTTACCGTGAAATGAGTTTGGCGAGAAAAGCTTCCGATTATGTTTCAAATATAAACGTCCAATTTTGATAACTTGATCGGGGAAACGAGTAACACTTTCACTCCGGAAAATGATCTATCGAACGGTTAATTATACATTAGGCAAAAAGCCGCGTAAACGTGGTCGTAAAAACGTACGATTCGTGAAATTATAGAGTTACGTAAAGAAGGACGGGATAAATTGTGTACAAAAGGAAAAGGTCGATCGGTCTGACTCCGATCATCGATCATTCGAGATTGAACAAGTTGTTTGCAACGTTTAAGGCTGTGTTTCTCGTTAATTCGCAAATAAATATCTCCTCTTGTGTGCATCTATAATAAGACTTAATTTATCGACTCAATTTGCAGAGTAATTGTAGACAAAAAGACCAAGATATAAAATGATTTTTACAGAGTTTATAGAGTAATTATAAACGAGAAAAAAAAAACGGGATGAAAATGATTTTTGCAGGATGAACGACAAACTTTCTATGGTAAAATGAGAGAAATACAACGAAAATATTTATTCATGTTTCTTTCATGTCACATATGGCCAAAATCAACACCGGTCCTAAGTAAACGAATTTCTACCCCTTATCTGAGCCTGAGTTTTAGTTTTCTCTCGGGACATCTTGCGTTAATATGTACACATGTATATATGTATATATTTATAATGTACAAGGGAACTAAAAAATGGGTAAACTCTAATCTACGTAAGATTAAACATTTATGTATGTTTCATAACTGTACAGTAAAGATAAATTCAATTACGACTCGTGCATTTTTTGTTAGTCACTTCTCAAGAAGGTAATAATTGTGCCGTTTGAAAATAATTAGAGCATCACGTATCTGAATAAAATTGAAATTAGAACTGATGAATTTTTCTTAGGCTTACCTTCAACTTGTAGCTATTTTTAAGTTAAAAAATTTATTTATTAATCTAACGTTTACACGGGAAAACCCGCTAATTGGACCTTTAAAAATCTGCGCGACAAGTACGAGTAATTTAAAAAACAAACGAAAAAATAATTCTAATATTCACTTTTCACAATGTTCAATACTGAAATTTATAAGCAACAAATTCAGCTGAACAAACTTCCACCGATCCTCCAATTCTTTTAAACAACACACACCACTACGGGAGTATCGTAACTTATCAACCCTAAAAAAAAAAAAAGAGGAGAAAAAACAAGGAATGTCCATCAACTACCTCGGTATCTCTAATCTCTTACCCAGAAACAAGTGATACGTTCACGTTTCTACGAGCGCGTCAACCGGTTCGCGTTTAGGTACCAACAGCATAGTTGCAAAAATACCCGGAATGGAGTATATATCGTAGAAACGAAACTTCTCTTCTAAGGACGTGCGTTAGTGTAAGCGCACACGCGTACGGAGAACGTACCACTTCATTTACGTTCCAGGAAGCCTGGAGTTTCTCTGTCGTATTTTCCCTTTCAACCGTGTGCCAAGTAATTAAGAGAAATTGGCATGTACCTACCTGTTCGACTTTGGCGTAACGATGTCTCTGGTTTCGGACGTGTATTTCCTTTCAGCACGGCCGCCGTTGAAAAGTTCGACGGTCTCCCTGGTAACCGTTTCCAGAAGAGGCTCGCCACCCCGTCTACCCTTGCTGAACGTCCTTTGATCCGTTTTACGGACCATAACCACCCTCGACAGGGGTTGATTGAATTCATGACCGTGCATCGTTGGCGGAATCATCGCTAACGACTGCGAGAGAGGCCCTCCGACTCGCGGAGACCTGGAACAAATTATTCGCCATTAAGGAAATGAAGGGGTTTCGCGTGCGCAACCCTAACTAAAATCCGAGGATAATTTTTTATGCCGCGCTTAAGGGGAGGTTCTGAAATGAAATGTAATGTGAGAACAGGTTTCATAAGTAGGGAACTTAAAATTTGGTGTAATTCTTGCAAGTGTATAATAGCAAAATATATTTTCTCGTCGACTATTATAGCGGAGATTTGGAACGGATTATTCGCCATTGCAGAAATGAAGGGTTTTGCACGTGCAACACTATTTAACATCGAAATGTAATATTTCATGCCGCGCTTAAGGGGAGGTTCTGAAGTGAAATGTAATATGAGAACGGGTTTCATAAATTCGTGTCATTCTTGGAGGTGTATAATAGTAGAATATATTTTTCATCGATTATTGTTGCGGAAACCTGGAACAGATTGTTCGTCACACTGAGGAAATGAAGGGATTTGGATGGTGAACCCTGCGTATTTAAAAAGTAACCCTTCCTCCGCAAAATTCTTTGTTTCGGCTGTATCGTTTCAGAAATTTGTTTCGCTGAATTAAGGTGAAAATACATAAAAGATAAAATTAGGGATTAACTTAGGCTAGAAGTGCGCCAAAAGGCGCGAACTGCACAGTGTGAGTAAATTTTCATGGCGCCCCAGCAGCAATGAAAGGGTTGAAAGGAGATTCTGAAATGAAATATAATATAAAACCAGATTTCATAAATGAAGATCTTCTTTATTTTCTACAAAAGTAAATAAAAGATCGTTAAGTTTATATAATTATTAGAAATACGAAATAAATTCGCAATCTATTATTATTACCATATTAGGCAATAAAATCAAGCTTTAATCCAATTTCTCGACGCTGAAGGGGAAAACAAATTTTCCAGGAAACAGTGATTCAAGGAACGATAAAACTTCTATTTTACACATTCACGTTATCTTTCGAAGAGCATAATTGAATTATTACAAGAAACACGCAACGTATCACGGAATATCTTTTACTTAAACAAATTCCTACGTCGTGGGATCCCTATACGACCCTCGATCCCATAAGCCACGAACATTCACGCGTTTAACACTCGATCTGCATTTCCTGAATCCTTAATGAGATAACTACATTCACCATAATCCATGAATTGAAGTTACCAAACGTAAAAAAAAAAAACAAAAATATCTGAACACAATAGTCCAGGATATGTTTATTCAGACGACTGCATCTCTCAATAAAATACTCTCCAACAATATACCGTGCTCTGTCAATCTAAGTCTCGTATCAGATAGCTTATCTCGATTTCTTGCCTCCTCGATACAAAGAAGGATGATACTGTCAACGATGAAACGTCCGTAGGTGGCAGCCATTTTGGTATCGGTATTAGAGGAATGGAAACCATTGTCAGACAATTTGGCTCGTTCAATTGCTGGAACAACTGTCTGACAAATGATGGATTTCGCGAAACTACAGACACAACTTCTTATACAATCCTTAACGCTACGTGTATACACACTTAAATACATACTACTCTGTGCACTATAATACATTTCATCTTTATGTAACCATGGAGAAATTGACAACTACAAAAATATCGCGTATTTTTCGTACTATTCGAAATGGAATCGGTTTCGTAACTCGCAATCCTACAGTTTAACTAATTACGGTCACTTCTTCCTCCTGATCGCTAATTCGTCCTTTTTCCTTACTCACGCACAATTTGTCGCGAACCGAAGTCTATTTGTCACTCCGCGACTCGTCTGATTAATTTCTCCCTTTCGTCGAACGTCCAATACAAATTGACCGAATTGTTGTCTTCTCTCCCGTGGATTACGCAATTCTTGACTCTTCAAACAGTCTTCGGGGCTAGGAATTATTCCTCCAAGAGCTGTTACCACTATAACGGGAAATATGTTTTTGTGCGTGCACGTCTGCAATAAACACGTCTAATTACGACGTATGTGGTAATAACATCTCCCGGCTCTATGAGCTCGGTATTCATAGCGATGAGTGAACAACCTAGTGTCGGGCGTGTGACGTATAACGAGACGAAGAGTAGCGCAATGAAGACGTTCAATTGAACGTAATTTTTGCCGATCGTTGCCACGATCTGGGAATAGAACAGGTGTCATCGCTTGTTACAAGACTGTGATAACTTTACACGAGAGAAAGGTGAAAATGCGGAGATAAAAATATGGAAAATTGATCGCATGCATATTTGTGTATGAAATTAAGGTGACTGCAAGCTTGTAAGGGAAGATTTCGACACGTATTTTATTATATTGACAATCGTCTATAGTGGAAAGGAGAAAATCGCCCTAAAAACTGCATCTATTTACGTAGTTTAACCCTTTGCGGACGGAGGGCTACATATCATATTGAAATACTGATTATTTGTGAACATGTAACTATTTAGGTCACTATTCCAATTTTCTTTAAGTTAAATAATTGAAAATCTTATTTATGGAAAAGCCAATTGTTTTCATTGCTTAAAAATATGTGAATTATTGGTTGCGTTTGTAATCTTTTGTGAACGCATGTATGAGTCTGCCGTTCTCAAAGGGTCAATATCTTGAAAATTATTAGAGACAGAGGAATTGAGGAATTTCTATTTTTCAACGACAAATTTTCCAAATGAAAAATAATAAATAATTTTCACCAAATACGTTTATTATCCTAATATTTCAGGACGATTTTCACACCTTCAATGTGCACGATTGCCAATAAAAAAGAAAATACGTGTCAGATATTTTTTTTAGTACGACCATATACCAAAGCTTCATATCAAAGTCGGTGATTATCATATCACGACGTTCCCCTGTTAGTTTACAGCAGCAATTTTTCTCCGTTAAGTATAGCTGATCACACCTTGGTACTCTGTCACAAGGGAAACTGAAAATACAGAAGTTGAAGAGATAGAATGCAAACATACCGAGGATATACACATATTTCAGACGTGAACGCCATAGATCTGAATCTTGGACCTCACAACATTCCATTTACTAAATGGCTACTCTAATAAATTGAACTACCCACACCGTCTCCAGAATATTTCCCTTTGATCCTAAAAAAGTCGCCTAATGCATCTGTGTATGAATGCTTATCATAAAACACACACGGTATTTATCTCTCGAGTGTCATTGAACTTAAAACACTCGGTGTTATTGTGCATATCGAAACATTCTCTCTTTCAACGACTTGTTTAACCACAAATCTTGCACAGAGATTTTCCATAAAACATTACGTTTTCCCCGCTCATAACAGATACTCATCTTAATTTCATAATTAAAATACCTCGACTCTGCTCAGTTTTATACATAATATCATTCCATCAAGAAATTCCAACTTTTACTAGAACCAGATAAATAATTTAGTTGTCTACCTGTTGGAAAGTATGCACGCGAACCAATTAAAAAATTAATTCGTTCAAGTGCTACAGTAGAAAAGAAAATTTTTTCATTTGAAAGCCTCGATGCTTCTTTTCTCGTTAGATCAAACTGGCCCAACGTTTCCCTTCGAGTACTCCTTTCGCACGATTCTACCTTCGAAGCGATGCATTACCAATCAAAAAGTGAATTCGATCAAGTGAAATAGTGGAAAAGAAAAATTTCGCATTTCAACCTTTCCATCTGAAAGAATTGATACTTCTTTTCTCGTTAGATCAAACTGGCCCAACGTTTCCCTTCGAGTACTCCTTTCGCACGATCCTCCACCTTCCAAGCGATTCGTTATCAAACGAAACAACGCAGCATTGCTTTCCGTGACCCAAGGACAGCGTTTATGGACTGTTCGCGCCAATTCTCAACTAGAATTTATTCTCAATTCGGGAAATTCCCTCTCGACAAAACGGTTGTTCGCGCGCCTCGAAGCATCCTCTAACCCGAAATTATCCACTCGATTAAGCGGCTGGGAGCCTCGTTACTTTTAAAACTACGCTCGCTAGCTCCTCGTTAACCTCGTCGTTAACGCTCGCAGCCAGATTCTCGTTCCGCGGGGCAATTAAGGCTGAATTTCTCTCGTGCAACGTCGAACCAGAAACCAACGTCTACCCAGCGACGTTTCTGCCAATTTTCCTCCGTAAAATCCAACAGGACCTGTCCCTCCTGCACCTTGTCACTTCTCCGAGGGAAAAAGCTTCCACGGGTATTTTACGATCCAAGGAACTAGAAGACGTTTGGAATCGGTGAAATTGCGAATTGGTCGATTGGAAAGGGGATTGACTGACATGTTCGGCTCCGATGCACTCGTTCCAAGAAAAAGTAAAGTTCGTTTGGTCGTAAATCATTTCGTTATTGCGAGCACGGCAAAATGAAAGCGCCTCGCGGGCTTTCCTGGCTCGGATAAGAATGTAATCCGGCGTCGGATCGAAACTTGAATGAAATTCGTGTGGAGAGCGGTGATTTTAATTAATGCCCGATTCTCGTGAACTGCGTTAATTGTGTATCTGAATGCGGTACGTGACTGTTCAATGCTAGGAATAATGTTACACACGGGGTGTCTTTTTTTTTCAATTCGACACGCGGTGGATTATCTCGGAAGAAACTGAAGTTATCGAAAACATGTTCTTACAAAAGTTGTTTGATACAACGAGGAACATAATTTGGCATAAATAACTTTTTTTCCTCGGGCAAAATTATGGGTGGAGATTTCAAGGTCACTCGTGAAATATTTCGCACAGCCTATGAATAAAACAGCCATTCGTATTGAAGACGCCTGTTAGAATAATACACTTATTTATTAAAACATGAAGTAACAATAGAGAATAATTATTTTATAATAATACGATTTTTTTTTATTATGTAAATCCTTCATTTTTTATATCGAAAGGAGGAAACTTTTTATCTAGATCAAAAGTTGGAGGAATAATTTTTAACTTTTTATACAAATGAACAGATTTTAAAAGTGCAATTTTCATTTTCCCGTAAATCAATCGTTTTTACAATTTCGAGGTTAGAGACGCAATCGTGGAAATTGAACCGACCAGATAAAGCGCTAATGTTACACGCA